AGTATATTTAGTCAATTCAGAAGTAAAAACAGTTTGAGGGGTTGAAAGTTTCATCCAATAACAGAAAGTGAAATGCTGGGGGGACTACCTTGGCTGGCTTAGTCGATAGAGCGTGCGACTGTTGATCTTAGGGTTGTAAGTTCGATCCCTATATTGGGTGTAGAGATTACTTAAAAAATAAAATCTTTAAAAAAAAAAATGAAAGTTTCATCCAATAATGGAATAGTGAAAATAAACCCTTAGGAACTTGGATATATTGGAAACCACTGCTTGGGCATTAGCGAAGGAAGTGAATTCTTTCAAAAACACTTTCATTTTTCATATTTAGGTCTTTAATCCAACCAGATTTGCTTTTTCATGTGGGGTGTATTATTATGTTTCAGTTGTTTCTCTAGGGATTAAATTTCTGGATTTGAGATTTTATCCCCTACAGTAAAGTTTCTAACTTTTAATAGGTGAATTTAACTACTTATATTTATTATGATCACTGATTTATTTGACATATTTCTGTGATGTCATGTTTAATTTACTGTGCTTTTTCTTTTCATTTTTTCTTCTTTCTGACCTTTGGTTCGGTTATTAAACTTCTCCTTATTCTCCCTGCCATATTTCTCTCTAGTGGTTCTGGTTTCATTCTTTTAATGATTATCCTTTATATTTTATATGCATGGAGATAAATTAATACTTTCTAAGTTTGTCATTATCATTCTCTTTTCAAATTATACCAAAATTTTAGAAAGTTAGTCCCACCCAAATTTCACTTTGTGTGTTGTTTTGTTTCAACTTTGCTTTTACTCATCTCTCTGGCTGTTTTTCAGGCAATAAAGATTTAGCTTTACCCACACGCTGTGTTGATTTTTCTAATGTCCATCGCTGCTTCTTCCAAAATACTCATTTCTTCTGGTTTTAGTTTCTATAAGTACTTTCTTCAGTGATGATCTGCATAGACAATAAACTTTTCCTTCTGGGCCTGAGATGTCTAGTCCCTTCATAGCTGAAAGATGGCTAAGTTGGGATATATTTCTAGACTGACAATAATTTTACACTGGCATTTTTAAGATACTATTCATTACTTTTGGGTCTTTGGTAAATAAGCAATTTGATTTTCATTCTGAATACTTTTAAGACCTTCTCATAATCTTAATGTTTTGCAGTTTTACCAGAAAGTGTTTGGGTTCTGGATGTGTCTTAATTTGTACTTGGATATCAATATACCTCTTCAGTTTTAGGAACTCATGTTATTTTTCAATTTTGGAAATGATTAAACATTACCTCTTCATATCTGTGTCTTCTCATTCTCTAGAGTATAGGTGTTCTTAACTTGTGGTCTGTGGATCCCTTGGGTGTCCAAGAATAGAATTTAGTGGGTTAATGATTTTGAATGTGAAAAAAAAAATCCTTCATTTTCACTGACCTCTAATTGAAATTTAGCATCCCTTCAACTATAAATGAGAGATAATAAACCACAGTAGGATTAGCAGTTTCTTTGATTTTTTTAATCTGTAGAAGCCAGAGATACTTTAATATCACATGAAGGTTATAGCAAGTATCTCAAAATACATTACATACTCTTTACTGCTTTGAAATTATAGTAGTTGTAAGCCCTTTGGCCATATCTTATTTAATTAACAAGTAAGCTCATAAATTGCTATATCACCCATTTAAGTAATGTTTACATTTGTATTTAAGAGTCATTAGTTTCCTTTGAAATTCTGTACTTTATTTTATGCATTTAAAAACATTAATTGTGCATTTCAAATTTTACATTTCTTGTTTTCCCACAGAAATACCAAATCTACATTACAGTGTCCTATTCTCTTTTGATATATGGCATGTCTACTATTCAGTCTACCAGAAGACTTTAATTTTTTTATTTCATTAATTTCTACTTACCTCGTTTTTAAATCTTTCTTTTTCTATTCTGGTCTTGTTCTGTGAGTGTTAATTTATCTCTTTGGATGCTCTAAGCTTAGTGTTAGTCCCTTTCTGACTGCTCTATTATCTCTAGTTCCTCATGTTGACAGATTCTCCCATGTGGTTTGAAAATTCTGTCTGAGAGCTCATCCTCTTTGGCCCTTCATCTAGGTGCAGTTCTCACGGGGACTCTTAACATTTGCCTTTAATGTCAGTTTCCCACTCGCTTCTGCCAGGGTCCTGCAGGGGGCACTGTTCTGAAGCCAGCGTTCACAGGTATTTCTCAGGTTGGGCTGATACAAGGCCTGAATAGTGTGTGGATTTGGCTTCTACAATAGGGCATGATTTAAGACTTCCTGTTCACATTCCAGAAAGAGCAGCCTGCTTTAGGGTTCTTATCGTACTGTGTTTTAACTCCCATCTGTATGCCCAGAGCCCATTTCCAAACACTCTTCCCATGCCCCCCCACAGTTGGCCACAACTCCTTCCCTGTAGAGATTTAAAATACCAGACCACAAGGCATTTATCTGCCCATTACCTCCAAGGGTTCCAGCATTTCAACTCCCACTCATCACTCTGGTTACGAGTTTCTTCGGTTCTGGCACTATGAAAATGCCCTTTGTTTTTCTGGGTTTGTTTTTGTTGTTGTTGTTATTTCTGCCTAGTATGTGTTTTAATGTTTTTTATTGTATTTTATCCAGCATTTATATGTAATTGGGGGCTGAGGGCAGAGCTCTGCATCTGTTCCTCTGTCTTGACAGGTCTTTATAGAGTGATATTTTTAAAGCAAAAATGGAATCTTGTTATTCCTCTGCTTACATCCTTTAAGCTTCTTGAATGTTAGATTCCTAAGGGCAGGAAGCCTGTCTGCCTTTTTGCTACTGTTTTTCTACAAATCTAGAAAAGCACATGATAGGGACTTAAGGGTTAAATGACTAAATACATTATTCCCCACACTTTTAGATTAAAGACCAACACAGTTAACATAGTCTAGTGGTCAGCATGGCCTAACAGTGGACATAATCTAGTCCTTGCCTGATTTGCCCAGTGCTGCCTCTAGCTTTTCTTGTCCCAGTTTTTCTTGTCAATTTGTATTTATGCTTCCCAGTCTCTCATCCTATTTACAAAATTTAGACTTACTGTAAGCCTGAAAGAGCTTAAAATCATGAGCAATAACTATTACAATCATACATGCTTGACTAGTTATATTTTCTGAATGCAAAAGTGAATATGGGCAAAGGGCAAGTATACCTATATATATATATGTGTGTGTGTGTGTGTGTGTGTGTGTGTGTGTGTATAAACACACAGCTTATTTATTTGGTATATTTCTGGGTCACTGTTCAAAATTTTTTGTTCCTCACATAAGTCATGAGTAAATATTTATATATTTACATATTTGAAGAAAGGGTTGGATATCTAACTAGCAAACTAAAATATAACAAAAGAGAAAAAAACTGAGTTGCTTTATATCTGACTGCTGTTCAGTGTGTTCATGAAAATGTATACTTCAGAACATTCTAATCACAACCTTTTTGATAAAATGTGTCCCAACTTGTGCTGAACTGACATATTTCATCTTCAAGGCTAGAAATGATACAAAGGGGAAGAAATTTGCTATTCCAGAAGCACCATATTATAATATGGTTTAAAACTAGTAGTTGGTCCTATTGAGGTTATTTTGTTGTTTGATGACTGATCTTTGAAACAAACTCACCTTCCTTAGGATCTTCAAATTTACAAATGGATTGCCTGAAATGGACCAGACCTCTACAAGTTGCTTACATGTCTTCCTCCCTTCTTTTCCTTCCCCATCCCCTTCCCCTTTTTTCCTATCAATCCAGGCAGGAAAAATGTAGACAACTAGCAAAATGGGCAGGCAATCAGCAGACCAAATCATCTAGATGTATCTAAGCGTTTCCCCATAACCTAAGCTTAACATAATTTGACCAACAAATTCTATAAATGTCTCTAAGTGTTTCCTTGTACTCAAAGTAAATATAAATTTCAAAATGTACAACAGATCAAATTTTACATATTAAGATGTATGTAAGAAAATGAAACTTTGTTTTCTGTAACAAATAGTGGTAGACAAAAACTTGCCAATTAAAGGCAGCAATTCCTCTGAGCTAAACATCTACTGAATAAATATTCAGTCAGTTCAAATGCAAATCAATGACCCAGGTACTTCTTTCCTCTGGAGCCACTCTGCTTTCTCTCTCCTACCCATGCCTACTCTTAATCCTACCTGCTGTGAGAGAATTACACACTGTTTGGTATCCTGTTCCACTTCATTGATCTTTAAACATTTCAATCAAATCAGCCTTTCAGATTGTTGGGTTGGGTTGGGTTGAGTTGGGTTGGGTTGGGTTGAGTTGCACTGGGTTGGGTTGAGTTGGGTTGGGTTGGGCTGGGTTGGGTTGAGTTGCATTGGGTTGGGTTGAGTTGGGTTGGGTTGGGCTGGGTTGGGTTGAGTTGGGTCGGGTCAGGTTGGGTTGGGTTAGAGTAGCTGAAAAATCTTTCAAGTGATCATGTTATGCCACCTGGTGGAAATTTAGTATTTTTCAGGCAGAAGCAAATAGAATTTCTCTGGTCCATATACTCCTGGTTCTCTATGTTTGACTTAGTCACAAGGAGATTCTGATAAATTATACAAAAACAAAGCCAGCTGGGGCAGTCTCCATTCTGTTTCCCAACCCTAACAGTTCAGTATTTTCCCAAAAGAAATCTTCACATGTGCCCTGTAATCCTCCTAAATTAAAAAATAAATAAATACATACAAAACCTAAAGACTAAGCTTACATTCTACTTTATGAAGAGGTAGCAAATGAATGTCTTACCCTTAAGTTTGTCTTCTTCCTGGACAGGTTTGTGTTTTCACTACAAAGTTTTACAAAGTTATTCACAAATTGCATTTTCTTCTGGTGTGATATGCAGCGTGCTTAACCCTGCCATCTGAGACTACTATGTTGGGGTAGAGTTGTGTAATGTTTTTATCTGTTTTTAGAGGATACTAATTTTGTAGATTCTTACTGATGGGAAGTTAATTTCTTTACTGCACATTATTTCTGGATTTATCAATAAAGAATGTACACTATATTAGCATTCAAGAATGACATCATGATACTATATGCTTTGTTAATTGTATTTTCTATGCAAAGCCATTCAATGAGGGATTCCTGGGGTAGCTTTTTTTTAATACTATTTTTTGTTGCTTCTTTCCCTCATTTCAGGTTAGAATCCCCCACACGGAGTCTAAGCATGGATGCCCCAAAGGGTGTTCATATTAAAGCTCATGCTGGGAAAATTGAGGCTCTTTCTCAAATGGATATCATTTTTCAAAGTAGTGATGGAATGGTGAGTTTGGTATATGAAGCTCCTGTTGTATGTCCTGATGACTTTCAGAGCAGACAGAGACTATCAGTTCTTCAATTACCTACTGATCCAACTTCTCTCAATATGGCAGTCACTGGGACTTACCTGTAAATGACAACCATTATTGGTTGTTGCCTCGAGCCCTATGCTTGCTCACATCAAATTATGTTTAAACAAAAATTAAATATGAAAAATAGGAGCTTTAAAAGTCAACCACAATAAGGATAAAATCTGGAACTTCAAGTCCAGAAATAAAACATCACTGATATAAGCCAAAGTCATAATGAGGCAGTAGAGCACTTGCTACTCAACATTGATTGTTCTAGTACTAGATAAATTCATGAATTACCCATCTGAGTTCAGGAAACCTAACAGGCCTCTCCAGACCTGGACCTGTCTTCTCATTTGTCAAATAAGGAAAATAATATTTGCTTAACTATGTCACAGTGCTGTGAGAAGCAATGTGGTAATATGGGTGGCAACATTTTGAAATTATTATATTAATCTGATATTAAGAGGAAGGTGTGGTTGAGGGAGCAAATGGAGGACATGAGAGGCAGCTCATGAGTGTGGACAGGACCCGTCCAATGGCAGGCTGCTAGTGGAATATAAAAGACATCCGGTGAAGCCCCTTCAAGTTATAACTGAAGAAGTTATGATGCCAAGAGCAGATAAATGCAAAAATGGAAGTCAAGCATTTTGGAATCTCATTACTAAATTATAATGTCACTGCATACTTAAAATATATTACCTTGAAAAATATGCTAATTTTAATTTTGAAATAGCCTCACTTATTTCCGTGAATAAGTTGCCAATTTTATAGCAGCACATAGCCTGACTCATAAGCTGATGTCCCTTATTACTGGAAGCTAGCTCAAAGTGTGGGGATATCTGGCTTCCCACAAGATATATTCCTATAAAGATAAACGAAGGTGAGCAAGGAAAGGGTATGTGGATTGCCAGTGACTAGAGTTTTCTGGAAGAGCAATAAAAAAATAACAACTAGAAAACAAAGTCACTGATTAACCATAAGAAAGGAAAGCAAAGAAGCCAACAAGGAAAAGGTAAAGCACATTAGCAAAAACCAACTAGCCACAGAACCCAAAGCTCTGGACAATAGCGTAAGTAGGTTCTGCGTTTAAAAAAAAAAAATACAATACATATTTCATTTCTTTTACTATGACAGTGTCCCAGACCACAAGGTAAAGCTTTGCTTTTAATATTTTTCCACCCACTGCTGCCCATGGCAGTGGTCAGCTTCCCAAGAGGGCGTACAGACTGCAAGCATCGGTTTATGAAAAGAGTAGAGTTCATGGATGAGAGTATGGAAAATAAAAGAAGAGTCCAAACTTATTTGCAAGGCACAACATTATGCCCGTCCATGACATGCTTTAATTCCTTCTAATAAGGAGCGCCCTGGCATGGGTAAAATTGGGCTACTCAGTGGAAGAGTTCTTCGTTCCCAAAAAGATTTCCAAACCTCAATTAATGGCCATCTGTTTACATTTCAGTGTAACTAAGCTGTCATAGGAACAAAACCCCCAATAGCTTTCATTTAATTTTAGTTGGCTTTAGTCTGTGTGTCTACTGCTTTTCTAGATCTAAGAGAAGTTAGGGAAATGGTTGGCAGCTAATAGGATGAAGTTAATTGCCTCTCATAGGAAAACAAAATCAGCAGAAATTCCAACATTCACAGGTAAAAATTATTAAGATGAATTTATTTCTGCGGCTGGTACTTTATCCTAATGGGGTAGAGAAGGTGATTTAGCATAAAGTCAAAATAGGTCACAAGATAAATGTGAATTAAAACCTTTTTTCAGATAATTCTGAAATGTATTTTTAGTATAGCACATAAATCTTCCTAGCTCAACTAGCACAATGGGTTAAAAAAAAAAAACTTCAATTTGGAGAAGGAATTATTAAGCCCCTGCCTGAATGGAAAATAGAAATAGGCTTTAAAAGACTCTGATAATGACTTAAGGTGCCTATTTCATTTTCTATGCAGAGAAGAAACTAATCTGTTTGGAGCATTTTGAGATATGAGTTTCACACTATCATGTCCATTCTCTTTTACCACTTCATCTCTCGTTTTCTCCCAAACAGCTTGTGCTTGATGCTGAAACTGTGTGTTTACCCAAGTTGGTTCAGGGGACTCAGGGTGCCGCCGGCAGCTCACAAAGACTCTATGAAATCTGTGTGTGTCCAAATGGGAAGCTTTATCTGTCTGTGGCTGGCGTGGGTACCACATGCCACGAAAACAGTCACATCTGTCTCTAAACCACCTGCATCTTCCACGGAGCACCTGCCTCATTTCATTGAGCTTTACAGATGCCGACCTCAAGCCTTCACACCAAGCAACTTGACATCCTGGTGGATGGTGGATAGGAAGTAGGACGGCACACTTTCAAAAGGAACTCAGAAAAATGTACCAGTGAAGGTGTTCTGATGAAAATCCATGATCTCAGAAATGGTGTGCACATATTAGACACAAAAGTCTAGCGATAGCAACAAAAAAAAAGTCTTTATTCCACTAGGTTTATTTTCATCAAAGCCATTGTGACTTTTCTTTTTCTTTCTTGTAGAAAATCGATCTACAATGGAATATTGAATTGCTGTGTGGAATTAATTTATGCCATTCAACTGTGACTATCTAACTCCCCATAAAAGTAGCATTGGTCAATACTAAAATGCCCCCAAAGTTCTGTGTGGTGTTCCCACTATATCACTCCAACCCACAAGTTCTCTCATTTTAATGCAAAGTGTGTCAGGTTTCACAAGAAATCTTCAGGTTTTGAGGGGACTTGGGTTGATCTGATTTTCAGTATGTAGTCAAAGGAATAAATTATACAAAACTAATCATGTTTCCTTTATATACAGTTATAAGCAATAAAAATCAACCTACATTTTTCACAAACTTCAGTTTGTCTTCCTTTCTTTAATCCCCACAACAGCGCTTTGAGGTAATATTTTCCCCCAAGTTACTGGTAATTAAAAAAGGTTCAGCTAGGACAAGTCAGAAGGTCAGATGGTAGCTAGTGAAATTAAACTGAAATGTGACCCTACATGTGAACAGTTGTTTTCATTTCAAAAATCTCTGGTATGTTGTTTCATTCCATCCAAACACCAGCCTACGTGAGAATTGTGTAGATGGGATGATATTCTTTGACAAGTGAAGAAACCAAAGTCCACCAGGATCACACAGCTTGTAGGTGGTGGGACTCCTAATGGCCCAGCCTGTGCATTTACCTCTTACACAAAGTAACAGACTTGATGTTACTTCATAGAATCACTCTCTTCATTTTTGAAAGTAGATTTAATACCAACTGGTAGTATGTGTTGCTATATAAGTCAAATAGGACACACTGAACCTATGAAAAAACAGGCTAGCCTTGTGTAAGCCACTCACTGACTTTGTAAAGTGCCAGTCATCACAAAGACTGGTGAGTTTGGTTTGGTTTGGCTTGGTGTTTTACCAGTTGTTATAATTAGGATCTCCAAGTAGCACAAGATGTGGTAGGACCAAGAGCATTGCAACTTTCTATTTATAGGATTTATAACTGTAAACATGAGTTCAGATTCATTTTCTGTGGTCTCAGAACTGAGAGAAAGTGGAAGAGTGAACTCTTGATTTCTCATGCTGTTTTAACAAGGTCATTTAACAGCATAGCCCGCTTATAACAAATCCTGGATTTTCGAACTGTTATGTGCATAAACACTTGAAATTACAAAAAAAAATTAGGTGTGTCCTGAGCAGTTAAGAACAAACTCGACTCTAAATATAATGCACCTAAAATTTCACAGGAGGTGGGTGTTTTTAGGTTATAAATTGGTATTCACTTTTCCATTTAGTTAAGTCCTGATTTCTTAAATAAATGTTTGCTTTCTTGCTACAGCATTCCTACTGTCCTAGTAAGTAACACTGCCTTTGTTTGGTCATATTTACTCTCTTGCTCCATGTTTGTGCAAAACAAATGTCTTCAAGCTTGGTTGACACAAGGTCAAGAAAAAGAATCAAGGAGAAATTATGGAGGATAAAACCCTTTAAATCAAAGATGTAGATTTTTTTTCTCCTTTGTTATTTGGAATCATCATGAAAGAAGTTGTTGTGGATAGGTGCCATTCTCCAGAATGATAAGGAATTTATTTCTGGTTAGAATCAAAACTTTTAGATAGGCTATATTATAAAATATATTACATAAACCTGTCTTTTTAAACACGTTATGCAATGTAATTTAAATTTTCATTAAAAGCCCAAGGTCATGATTATGAACATACCTAACGAACATACCTAATGACCTATGTACACTAACAGTATATATACTAAGTGATTGTAGACTATTAAGTGTTGATATTTGAGTGACCTCAAAAAATAGCCCTTATTTCTTTTTCAACTTCCAAACCAGCTGAGTAGGCACAAGTCAGAATGATGAAGATCAAAATGTCAGCTTTAACAGTAAAAAAGTTTGACTTGCAGCAAAATGGACGCCCCTAAGACCCGAATATCACAGGAACCTCTGCCGTCCCAGGGAGAACTGTGGGCCCCTGACTCCCATAGCTCGCCACATGGAAGAGCGTGGACAGATGCTCCTGTTCTGAAGGCAGCCAAATTCAAAGTAAAAGGGTTGAGCTACATGTGTTCAGGTCCTCCCCACCCAAGTCCAGCCACAGGTCAATCTCCACTGCTTTGGGGATCAGTGAAGGAGAGCAGAAGCACTTCTGAAAGGCAGAGCCCTTCATACTAAGGCTGTTAGGTGGTGTCTCTCTAGTTTTTTGTCCCTTCCTTCCCTGATTTAACACATCAACTCCTACTCAGCTTTAGCATTTTGTCCTATTTTAAATTCCGTTTCAGATTTGCTTTTGTTTCAAAACCAAATAAGCTTTTGTATCAGGCGTAAACATGCAGGCGGAACAAGAAGACCTAAGGGCACCGCTAAGTCAAAATCCATTCTTAACTGAATAGATAGCACAGCTTCACTTCCAGGATGGAGTGTGCACCTTCACGTCCCCAACACCTGACGGAACGCCTGCACTTGGTGCCCAGGGGCCATTTTCAAATGAATGAATGAATGGCACTACTTTAAGCCATATTTGATCAAACAAGAGAACGGAAAAAGGCTTTGGGGGCCAAAGCGTGAGGACATTCCATGGGCAGTCTGCAGCTTCAGCCCCGGCCGAGTGTGCGCAGCCTGTGGCGGCCGCCAGCGCCACCCCCACGGTCACCGGTCACTTCCCGGAAACAGATCTCTCCATCTATCTGTTTCTGGACGTCTCCTCCTGGTTCTTTCTCTGGTAGAACCCTGATGAATACAGAACTAATTAAAATCTTCTATAATTGCTCTTTTCTACCAGCACTACAAATTTTATCCTTGAGAGCTACAGAACATGTGAAGTACGGAAGATGTCGACTGGCGCCAAGGAAGAGAATTCCACACCCGCACATCAGACCACCAGACCCGTGAACAACTGCTCTTTGTTAAACACTACTTGAACATTTTGCCAAGGTCATCCTTGGGCTCTTGGCACTCCCACCCCACTCCCAACCAACTCCCCACTGCTTTTTATTTTTTTATTCATTCATTCATTCATTTTTTATATTTATTTTTAATTTATTTTTGTTTTTTTAAATTATTTTTATTAATATATAATGTATTATTTGTTTCAGAGGTACAGGTCTGTGATTCATCAGTCTTACACAATTCACAGTGCTCACCATAGCACTTACCCTCCCCAGTGTCTTTTAAGTAATCTCCATGCCCGGTGTGGGGCTCAAACTCACAACCCAGAAATCAAGAGTCGCATTCCCCACTGCTTTCTAAACTACCCGGGCTGCACAGGTTCTCCCTGAGTTTCCTGGCAGATGCTATGAACAGTTCCGCCAGCCCACGGGGGATGCTTTTCTCCCTTGCTCATCTGGCAGCACACAACCTGCTCTGGAATGCAGGAAAGCCTGTTCCAAATCCTTGCTAGACCGTGTGCTACTCAGGAACAGCTACTCCCCACACAGGCTGTTTCCACTTTCCTTTTAATAAGAAAAGGGAAATAGTGGGAAAGCATAAAATAATAAAGTTAGTTCACATCAAAAATTCCTTACCCTGAATTTCAAAATCTAAAAAGCTCTAAAAATAGGCACACCCTCCATATATGTCTGCTGCAAACTACTGGTGGCGAGATCTGACGGGAATTTAGGTGAGGTTATTTATCAGGCCTATGTATTCCAGTTAGGGTGAGTATTCATAGGTTTCACAGCAGAAATATCGTGTTTAAGAGTGCTATCAACCTGGATGGGAATGTTTGTATTAACTTCTAAAATCCAAATTCTGAAATACATTTGGATTCAAGGGTTGTATATAAGGGATTGTGAACCTTTTTTTTTTTAAGTATAGGAAAAAAAAAACGGGAACTCCAACTAGATCAACTAGCCCAATGTCCACCAGACAAGGTTTTCTGTGTACATTTTAATATCAAAAAACAATAAAATATATTCCAAGTACTGAATCTGAGTTTCAAAATAGCAAGCACTTTTTAAGACATCCCAGAAAGCTGAAGACCCAGAATCTGGTATGCCCCAGAAAACTCTTCGCCCTGGTCTGCCTAGTTTTGAAGACCTGTGCCTCCGGTATAAAGATGAACATTTTCTGTTAGGGCTCAAGCATAAATTAGCCCCAGACATGCAGCCCCCTCCTGAGGCAAGGTAAATACCAATTCAGCCTCTACCTATGGAAGAACCATAATATTTAATGTATCTACATCCAAATACATATATATGTGTGTGTGTGTGCATACATATATGTATGTATGTGTGTGTATATATATACATACCATATATATCAGCTAATCTTATTCCCCAAAAAGGGAAAATAAAACTCTTAACTAAATCAGCACTTAATAAACCCAGTATATATCAAATACTTTATACTCAATCATAAAAAAAGAATGTGCTAAAATGCCAATATAAAATATAATAAAAAATTCTATCCTCAATATTGCCAATAAATACACCTATATGCATATATCAAAATGTTATATAGGAAGATACTAAGTTTGATTTTCAGGAAATACCAGTTACAATAATTTGATATGTACATTTGCTTTATTAAAAGTATGGCACTTAATATAATAGCAGAAATAATTACATAGCTTCACATCCAGAAGCAATACAATAGTCGAGGCACAAACATTCCTTATTACCATAAAAGTAAAAAAGTTTTCATATGTTCCATAAGCCCTTAATTGCATAAAATTTATATTCAGCATCATTTACAGCCAGCACACTTATATAAACTAATTACCATTACCTTTCATTTACATTCTGCAAAAGAAATATGCCGAAGTACAGTATAGTAGGACACTCAAACAGGATGAAAATCAAATGTCAGTTCTGAATCATTCATGGGGAAAATGCAAGCTGACAATTCCTCTTTTATAAGCTACTGGATATTGTCACAATGATTTTACACTTTTTTTTTAATGTTTTCAAAGTAAAATCCAAAAAACTCCACTAAGTGCCATGTTGAAAGAAGAGATTTTTTTTTTTAACTGCAGCACCTTTTAGACAACGAAAGATTGCATCCTGTTCAATCACGCTATACAAATTATGATATTTGTGGAAAATATGTACAAACAGAAAGCAAATGTTCTAACCATTGATAAATGTTGTTTTGGTAAGCAGTTCTTGGACGCAATATTAACATCTGGTGATAAGAACTGCCACCATTTTTTTTCCATATGTTACCTTCATGAAATAGGAAGCCTGTAAACATAAAGTGTAAAAAACCATTTAAAATAAAGATGTAAAGTGCACTCAGTGCACCCTAAGAAGTACTATCTGCATACTCTTAATCAAGTAATATTCAGGATTAAAATACTGTACCATTTTATAAATGTACTGGGTATTTAAGATGTAAAATTGCAACA